CAAGTGAAATATATTAATAACTTCGTAAAACGTCCTAAAAGCTTGTCTTTGTACTGTGATGTTGGTGCTTCTCTGCAAGAAGCTTGGAGAGACAAGTTTGTGTGTGGTGTAAGATAGTAGGCTTTAAAGAAAAAACTTTTGACGATGAATAGACTTGGTTTTTCAAGTGCTGTGCCATCAGCTCTGGCTATGGGAATATGAAAATAGTGTCTGTGAAAGTATTGACAAGTTGTCAACAAAAAAGTAACGTAAGACAAATGCTAAAAGTCAGTCGAAAACAAGTAAAAGTAAGTGAGAAAATAAGCACAATCCAAACCATTGTCTAGCGAAATAGTGGGAGTGTTTTAAATGTAAAGCCAAAGGGCATACCAGTAGAGTGTGTAAACAAGCTGGTATGCATGCTTTGGAGGAGCAAGAGTCAGATGCTTCTAAATACACCGATGACCTTTAACTTGAGTTTTTGTCAGCCAAAGAAGATAAGACCAGAGAAAAAGCTGATTGTTTAGGGTAAACCAATTAAATTTGAGATGATAGCGGAGCATGTCGTTCTGTCATGCATATCGATGACTTATTTGGAGTCAGTTATGACCTGAGAATTTTGACAGGTGATGGTGTAAATATTATAGGTGAAACAGATGTTTTTGTCAAGTCTAACGACCATATTATAAATTTACCATTAGTAATATTAGAATGTAGTGATACATTTTTCCTCGAACCATTTTTCTCCTTCCTTTATTTTGAAGTTGAAATATTAATTTAATTTTATTTTATTTTAAACTTCGTGTCACCGTTATACTGACTTATTAATGAGCTAGTAGCAATTTTCTTGCTTGCTTCCTCCTTATTTTTCAGCTGGTTACAAATTCTTTGTAGCCGCAAGCAATGATTAAAGCTCCTTGCTTGTTGCTACAAATTACCTGTGTCTAAGTGATCTATGACCCCTGGAATTTGTCATCTCCATCTGTAGCTGCCCCAATACTTTCGAGGCTGCTTCGAGAGTTTTTAGAGTAAATAATCTGGCGCCCGAGAATGCCCGTAAAATGCGTCATTCGTCATTCTGTAGTGAGAAACCCCTTACAATATAAATCAATATATTTGGTTAAATTGCACCAATTTACTTTCTGTTAATGTGTAGTTTTAATTCCTTAATTTCTAATAATTTATTTTATGAAAAACAATAAGAAAATAATAAAAATCATCCACACCAATGTCTTAAAACGACTTCATGAATTTTTATTTATTTAAAATATCTATTTTGAAAATTTACATATATTTTACAGTGCAAATACCTAAAGATTGCATATATATGCAATTAAGAATATTTTTAAAACATTACGAAATAATTTTTAGCAAGAAAAACGAAGTACATGTAAGTAATAAAAGTGTGCTAGCAAAACTTTACAATCTAGCCCTAGTAGGATACGATAATTCTTTTATTATAACGTATAAATTATCCTATTTAAAGCATTTAACTGAGAGAGGATTTGATTTCTGCCAGGTTGAAAATTATCCTGCTTAGTTACACAGTGTGATTTGTGTTGTGCTATCCATATTATTTATTGTGAAGAGGCATGTCAGTCGCTTATTATTTTGTTGTACAGTGCATTGTTATAGGTTAGTTAAATGAGCCCTTTGTATTATATCTAGGCCAGAACTAGAGCAGTGCCGTTTATATAATCTAGTACAAGGTTTAGTTTTTTAATAATCTTTATTATATTTAACTTTTTGTTTCAGATATTATTTCTGCAGAATGGACGTACGATAATCAAGGTAAATAGTACAGGTACTTAATTTTTTGCACCTACGTTGTTTATATTCAGTCGACTCTAATGAGGATAATAAATCGACGAATCATAATTAACATTTAGGACTAACTAATCTTTTTTTGTAAATCTAATAATTTAAAAATATAGGTTTCGAATAATTTTTTTCTCACCTTAGTTATAAAGGGAGGTTACGCCCTATAAATCAATTCTAAACTGGCAAGTGTCTAATAACATTTATTATTGTTATTATTATTAGATGGTTATTAGTATTAATCTACAGTGAGTCCTGCAATATGTTATTTCGATGAGAGTATTATAAAAACACTTGACAGAGACACTAATTTATAGTTAATCTCACGGAGACTTGCTCTTCTGTGGGACTATCATATTTGTTTTTTCCTAATATGGCTTATATTTTACATTATTAACCTTACATAATATGTAATTATATGGTAAATAAATATATTATTATTATTATTTCGTTGTCAGACCACCGCTGGTTAACATTCAAAATAAACTTGATGTTGCCGACCTCCAAACTATCTCGGAACCCTAAGAAGACGGACAAGGCAACCTATGCCCACCTTCTCCAAGAGGCTCTGAGAGAGATGGAGGTCGACACACCAAACAATAACAATGCTTTGGAGAAGCACAATAAACAATGCCTATAAGAAATCCTGTCCCCTGAAGCTGGTCCAACACGATCAGACGACTACCGCATGGTGGTGTCACGAGTTGGATCACCTCAGGAAGATGGCTAGGAAATCCTTTAATAAGGCAAGAACCACAAAACTCAAAAAGGACTGGGATACTCACAAATCTCATCTCAGAGAATGCAAAAAAATCGTCAGACAAAAACAGAAAGATGCATGGAGATCCTACTGCGAAGAAGATTTCCCGCAGGCAGCGAGGCTTCAAAGAGGTCTCTTAAAAGATCCACAACGAAGATAGCATCAAACTTCTGCTGTCAACTCACTTCCCTGACTCGGTCATCACAGACGTGACCGACTGGACAGAGGAAGAATACAATCCATCTGACTATGATTGTCAAACTGCCAAACATATTGTAGACAATGAAAAAATTAGATAGGCAATATCCAGCTTCTCTCCATTTAAATCTCCAGGACCTGACGGTATCTATGCAACCCTACTTCAGTAGGGTCCGGAAGAACTTACACCGCACCTGGTGGGTATATTAAGATCCTCGTTGGCTCTGAGGTATATCCCCAAAAAATGGAGAGAGGTAAAAGTAATATTTATACCCAAACCTGGATTACACTGTCCCAAAAACATACCGATTAATTAGTCTGACATCATTTTCCATGAAGACATTGAAAAGGTTATGCGAAAGGTACATAAGGGAGGCGGTAATTACAACACCCAAACCAACATGCATACACCCCAGGCAGATCTACTGATTCAGCCCTTCATCTAGTTGCTGGCCGGACAGAAAGATCCCTGGACAATAAGGAGTCCGCTTTGGGTGTTTTCATAGACATAGAAGGTACTTTTGATAAAACCACCTTCCCAAAGATAATACACTCACTAACCAAGAGGAATGTTCCACAAATGGTTAGTGGCTGGATACATAACATGCTCTCAAAGCGAGCAGTAAACATAAGTGTAGAAGATATCAATATAAGAGGCTTGGTTGCGAGAGGATGTCCACAGGGAGGAGTGCTATCACCTTTACTGTGGAATATGGTCCTCGACATCCTCATCAGCCGCCTCAATAATGATAGTCACTACACAATAGCATATGCAGGTGACTTAATCATTCTGCAAACATGGAATTTTAAGAACAAAAAAATAAAATACTTTAAGACTCTCCAAAGATCGTCGTACTGGAAAACTAAACAAGTCCAACAGAAAATCTCTTCAGTTACTCTTGCCAATTTGGATTTTATTGGTTTAACTGAGACTTGGCTAACCGAAGACGTAATGAGCACTGAACTTTTTCCGATAGAATACAATGTTTTTCGTAAAGACCGTGACTTGCTAAGATCTTCGAAATCAAAAGGTGGTGGTGTCTTATTAGCTCACAAAAGTAACTATGAATCAGAAGCTTTGAACCTCACTCATTTTTATGAACAGTTTGTTAATATTGATAATGTAGGAGCAAAATTTTATTTGTCACATAGCACACTTTTCATTTATGTTATTTATGTACCGCTATACACTTTTAATCTAGAATATTAGCATATTAGAATCTTAGAATATTAGATGAATTAATTAAAATTGTAATAAATCAAGAAAAAGTTTTGATATTAGGAGACTTTAATTCTGCCAATTATGTTACAAAAAAACTAGATGATTTTCGAGATAGGAATATCGCTAATTTTTTAGATTTTACTAATACCTCCCAAATTAACAATATAAAAAATTCCTTAGAAAGGATAGTAGATCTTGTCATTGTTTTTGAGAATCTCACTTCGTTCAACACAGGTGGTGATTATTCACCTCTTATTGGTAGAGAAGATGCATCGCATCCGTCCTTAAGGATAACACTGTATATCGAATCGTCTAGCTTTGTCAATTTTGCTCAGGGTGCTGATTCCCAAATGTTTAATTTCAAAAAAGCATTTTTTCCAAACGAATAATTTTTTTTTGAGATATATCTTGGCGATGGAATAACTTTTCTCACCTTAGTTATAAAGGTAGATTAATACCTTTATTTTATTTTATTTAATAAATTAGGAAAAGTAATACATTATTTTTAAAATAGTTACTTTATTAAAATAATCTTAAAATCAATTTTTAAAATATTGTATATTATCGTTAAGGATCGTAGAAAAAATATATTGTGCAACTAGTTGGATTGTCTGTCATTCTTGAATTCTTTTTGTTCACACTACTATTTTATTTTTAGAAAACTGTATTTAATCCTAGAAAGTTTTTAAATAATATTACAATGTTGCCAAGCAATTAATTTTTTTTAAATTAGAGAATGATACTGACCCCAAATTAAATTATCAAATTTAGGTAGGTTTAAATTTATTTCAAAATTGTTTAATACACAGACTTACAAGATACTGAACTAACCAATAGTGGTAATAGGTCTGGTTTATTTTATACAGTGTGTTTTGAAACATGTCTTAAATATGGCTAATTTTAAGTTCAGCCTAAGAAGGTATAATTACAATAACTACTTAAATGTCTCCAAGGAAAATACTGGCGCTGATTCAAATTACAAGAAGCCAAGCGCGTGGGTATATTTAGTACAAAGAAAATAAATGTAAAGTAAACATGCAGTTAACTCAAAATAATCTCCAATTTATCACTTACCTGACATTTCGAGCCGTAAAATTAACACTTTCGTTGCCAATGAAATATTCGATCCAATTATTCTAATTCAAACAAATTTTTATTTAGTTTACTAAATACCAATGTGACAGGTTTTGCTAAGATCACAAAACATCATAACAGTAACAGGGTATTTACCTGATTCAATAAAATTATTCAATCTCTGATAAAATAAGAGTTGATCTTTTTGGCAAGAAACCATGTTTATGTCTAAAAAAATATGACTCACTGCAAAATTCAGAAGTCTCTAAAGAAAACAACTGGTACTTCACGAATTGTTAATTTCATTTAAGTAAAATGCATGCAGAACGAAAAATTGACATTCATTGTTAATTGGTTATTATTTTTAGGAAATTGGAGTCCTAGTGTCTGTATCGAAGGTCCACATCAAAGTCCCATCGCACTTTCTACATCGCTTGCTGAGGAAGCTGACTTTCCTCCCTTCAGAATGGACGGCTATTGGCAAAATATGTCTACTATTTTACAAAATAACGGACATTCAGGTAAAGACTTTTTATGGTACAAATTAATAATTTTGATTATTTGAGCTAATATGAATCTAGAATTCTAAATCTTTAAATTCAGTTACAAACCTAATTTAATCATTGTTTCATCTTGCTACCAATGGATTTAAACAACCTCTTTTCTACCTTTTCATCTAATCAACTCACACATGGGTACTCCAAGTTAGAAATCCAATTTTGTTATTTTTAATATTTATTTCCATTTGATCTAAACCTAATCTCCATTTAAAAGGTGTATACTCTTTGTTTTATCAACATTTAGTTTTAATTTATTAATTTTCAATTATCTAGCAATCTTATTTATATCTCTATCATTAACCCATACTAGAGTATCATCAGCAATAAGATGTGTACAATCACATTCACTACAATTCGACCCATGAAACGAAGACTAATAGTAACTCATTTTTGAGAGTTTTTGAGTTACCGTTATTTAGCGCATATATTTGCCAAAAGCCCAAAAGCTTTGACCTAAATAAGTATCGTAGGTCTAAACGAAGCGGTTACCATAAAATATAGTAAATTATTTTAGGCCATAAAATACTACGAATACTATATTATCTTAGATTTTTTCAAAAATAGAAATAATGAGTTACTACAGTCTTCGTTGCATGTATCGAATTGTTGATATCATTAACAAGATTAATTATAATAGCCCTATAATACTTCCCTGAGGAACTAACTCTATGTACTACTTCAATTCATGTTGAAAAGAAATCATTAATTTTGGTTACCTGTTCTTTGTCTGTAAGGTAATCACTGATCTATTCAAATACTTTGCCCTTCATGCCATATTTTTTAACTTTTGAGTTATATTTGCAGAAAATTGAAATTTTTTTTTTTATAAATATTGTTTTTGACTTATTACAAACCTCGATTTCTTAAAATTATTACTATGGTTGGAGAGGTAATCAAAAGATTTTTGAAATGATGTATCGCCATATTGTTATTTAAAAAAATCATCGAGGAAAGGAACATTTAACTAAACTCTCGTTTGAAAATAAAAGTCTACTGTTTTCAGCACTTTTTCCAGAAATCAATGAGTTTCGAAGTATTAAATGTATTTCTTTCGTTTAGCACCATATTTTATAAATAATAATACAGAGAGCTCTTTTTTTTAAGTTACCATTAGACCAAATCATCAGAAACATATTCCGCGTATCCATGGTGGAGGTTTGTCCGGAAAATACAAGTTAGATCATCTTCATTTCCATTGGAAATCGGAACATACAATGGAAGGTCAGAGGTAAGCATTATAAATTATTAAATTAGTAAAGATTTTCCATAAGTATCCCAAAATAACCAATGTGTAAGTTCAATTCTTCAAGAGGCATCTAACCGATATGGACTAGAGCAGTGTTATTCAAAGTGTAGCCCGTGGAGCCTTGAGGCTCTGCAAATCCTTTGTAGGGGCTCAACAAAGAAACGGGAGGGACCTGGCAAGAGGCTAGAGCAAGGAGAATTTTACTAGGAGGTTCCGTCACCAAACAAGTTTGAGAACTACTGGATTAGAGCATAGGACTAACCAATTATGATCATTGATTTCTCAAAACAAATTGTTATCTTAAACTAAATTGAGAATGAATATTTTTTTAGCAGGTAATTGATATCTGTGATTAAAAATACTTTTTTTTAAAGATAATAATTTAAAAGTTTTACACAAGTACTTACAGCTGAAACTGTTAAAATACCCCATTTTTACCTAAAAAATAATTTAACTTTTCCATCCAGACTCCAGGAAAACGGTATAGAAAACAACGCCTTTCAATAGACAAAAATAGAATAATACGAATGAGTATGGACCGCAATATCCCATGCTTGCCATCGAAAGGGTGCGGTCAAATCAATTACTATCTTTATCGCTGTCACATCCAAATAAAATTAAGCGTCTCATCTTTATTTTGCCTGATGCGTCGGCTTAACATACTGTATATTTTTTGACAATGTGAACATGAACAACATGAGTAACTACAAATATATTAGGGTCTCAAATGGAAGGATATACGACAAAAGGACGCGGAAAAAAGGACGCGGAAAGAAGGACGCGGGAAAAAAGGACGTGGAGAAAAAAGGACGCTGGAAAAAAGAACGCATAATTTTATTGAATTACTATAAATAGTGAATTTTAATTGACATTAACAATTAAGTTTAATGACAATGCAAACTTGGTTTCGGAAAACAATTGTAGTTTTCCTATTTATTAAATTGAGGAGTTTTGTAATACGCCTGTAAGTTTTTTATTTAAATGCCATTATTTAAATATGTTTGTAGTTGGACATTTGGGTTGTTAAAAAAAAGTTTGCAACTGAAAATTGTGAGCAATGCCTGTCAAATATTCTAAATTTGGCCTGTGACAAAATACGATAAACTTGCCTTCACACTTTGTCTAGGCTTAGGACTGGCAGGTTAAAGCTGGCATGTTTCCAAGTTTTTTTTATTTTTTATGTGATTTTTATAATTTCCCAATTTCTGTTTGCCGTTAAATGTAATCTTTTAATTACAAATTACCATATTTTGCCATAAACAATGCTGTCAGGTATAAATGATTACTAACGAGTGCTTTCTTTCTTTTACTATAGCTTATAGATTTTTAAAATATTTTTAAAAAGTAATCCTTTCTACCCCTGCCACATTAAATAATTCAGGAGTACCTAAAACATGGGGTCTAAAGTAAATATTTATAAGACAAAATTACAGTTTTTTTTGTAGATTTCTTTTGCTCTGCGTCCTTTTGTTCCGCGTCCTTTTTTTCCGTGTCCTTCTGTCCCGCGTCCTTTTTTCCCCGCGTCTTTTTTTCCCGCGTCCTTTTTTCCGCGTCCTTTTTTCCGCGTCCTTTTGTACTAGATTCTTCAAAACATTTTCTCATTTTTTAGGTTCCCACTGGAAATGCACATGGTGCATTACCATGAGAAGTATTCAAGTTATCAGGAAGCTTCAGATTATGCGGCAGAAGGAGGTGTAGTAGTTTTTGCAGTTTTATTCTATGTAAGTGGGTAATAGCATCATTGGTCATTGGTTATGATTGTTTCAAATTTACGGCATATTTACAACAAAATCACTTGATGGATTTGATAAAAAATAATCCACAAAACATGTTTCTAAAGTAGCCTATGACCGACAAAGACAGACACGAATCATGTTCATAGTAACTAACTGTTCAGTATTTTCGTACGTTTTAGATTTTAGTCGTTTTTCCTATTCGAAGACACACTGTATATATATTTGGTATTTGTAACGTACGTGACAACAGCGCTGTTTTTTAAGATACAAAATTAAAAAATCCCGAACAAAATATCTTAAAAAAATTTGAAGTCTGGGCCTTTTAAGTCATTTGCAAATGATTTTGTCGTGGTAAACATTTAATTTATAATTGTATCTAATTAATTTCTTAAATTGAGAGTTTATCTTAGATATTCTGAAACTAAAAGATTGGGGTTTGTGTCTTATTTGTTTAAAAAAGACACACAAGCAAAAATTATGATGCTGGAGCATGCAGAAAGTGTGCTAAAAAACATCACACTTCGTTACATTATGAGTCATCCAATATAGATGGTTCCAAACCAGGCAACCCAGGCAACAAAATGACGAAGTAGTTGGAGACCATGCAGGTGCTAGTGATGGGGATAGTGTTCTGAAATGTCGGTGCAGGTAAGGTCAGTTTTTCTAGAGAATTGCGAGGAGGTCCCAGAGGAGGTATTAATGAGCGCAGCATTGGTGATAATCAGGGATGTTTCGAGGTCATACCCAGTGTCGGATTGGGACTTCCAGTGCCTAACGGACTAGGAGGGAGAAGGACCCACCTTTTCATGATCTGATTTGATTAAAAACCAAAAGAAATATTCTCTCACGTATTACGCGGTTTCTTTGTTTGTTCTTCTGAATCCGGTGCCTGACCGAGGTCCCACTGATTGAAGGAGGGTACACTGCTTTAAGAAGGGCCTACCGGTCTTTTGACCGGTAGACCGAAGGCCCAATCCGACACTCGTCATACCTACAGGGCGTTACTGGATACTGCTGAGCAGTCAAATTTGATTACCCAAGAGTTGGTTGGTAAATTAGAGTTAGGTCAAGAGGATGTAGAAGTCTCGATTGTTGGCGTTAATCAGGACTCAACATCTGTTGGTTCAAAATGTATAGCAAGATTTCAAACAGTTTAAGGTGGTTAGTTACATTAATACTATTTCTTGTTTGGTAAGTTCGAAAATAGCAGTATTGACTCCTCATCAGAAGATCAAATAAATCAGTTGGGAATTTCTGCACATGTAAGTTTGGCAGATCCAGATTAAATTATTTCTTTGTGATTTTATTGAAGCTGAACATTTTATTGGACAAAGTTCCTCAACGTTACTTTCTTTAAAAAGGTTATATGTTTTAAAATTAAATTTCCATTCAAAGTTAATTAAATTTTATGAAATAATCTAAAATGGAAAATATATATTTTAGTTATCTCCAGACGATGTAGAAGAATTCAATCACGTGTTGAAGGCAGTTTTACACGTTCAGAAACACGAAAACCAACAAACGGAACTGGATGGTTTTGTGATTAAGAACTTCATCCCGATGGATGTGGCTGGATTTTACAGATACAACGGATCGCTGACAAGTCCAGGTTGCAACGAAGGAATTATTTGGACGGTGTTTGTTCATACATTGCCCATATCTCAAGCACAAGTAAGTAGAGGAGAAAGAGAGAGAGAGAGAGAGAGAGACTCTTATAAATTTTACAGTTTCAATATAATCAACGGTAAAGTATTTTGACGATAAGAAGGCAGTGACGTTAGATGATAAAAAACCTATGGCGTTGACATGTAGAGTTTGTTTTTCCTTCACTTATGCCCGTATGCACCGTACACGTTTAATCCAGATCAAGGATTTATTCGCGTTTAGTACCATAGCTAAAAATGGTACGGTGTACGGTGCATACGGGCGTTAGAGATAACATTATGACAGTGTTCTTTCTTTTTCCTAACTTGAATAAAAGTGCATCTAATGTATTGTTTTCAACAATTGGAAAATGTATTTAAAATTGAAAAGGACGCTAGTTATCAATAACTAATTTTTCATCAGATAGACATAAATATTCAAAACAGTACAAAAGGATAAATACCAACCAAAACTATTTCTATAAACAATCCTACCATTGAGAAGTTGAATACCCTTTTATTGCTATACAACTTATAGGTTAGCTAATAAAAGTTAATTTTTTTTCCTTTGCTTTTATGTACATTTTTTGATCAGTTTATTTCACCAATTTTATATATTTCAATTTGCCGTTAAACTATTAAAATAGACCGATTTAACACGATTTTTTTTGTTATACTATTAGGCAATCCTACCGACTGCGCCACTTTTAGGTTCGCATTTCATATTTATTAAAAAAAATATAAAGTGAAAAATTTAGAAATGAAAACTACGTTCTAATTTTTTTAATTATATCTTCAAGACAAACAAAAAAGTCTAAAATTTTGAATAGAAATTAACCCTTTCATTTAGTTAATTTTATTATATAATAACAATTTTCAATAATTAAGTAAAATAGAACAATGCGTGAGCATCAACTAACAGCTTGATTTCACTAAAGCACTCAAGGCGACCCATCATTTCGTTCTGCCTGAAAAAGTGCACTCGACGGTTCGCTACTACCGCCATTACTTCCCGCACCCCCCACCCTTGACTGCCAATGTTCTTTAAATTATATTACAATGAGTAATCACACAAAATTTGTTTACCTGCTAACATATATATACAAAAAAAAATATTTACAGGTAGATGTGTTTCGATCAATTCGTACCCGCCACAACAAACCTCTGGAGGAAAATTTTAGAGAACTTCAACCATTGAACGACAGACATATTCTGATCAAGATTAGTCCTGTTGGTGTTTCTGCGGGTCAAAATCTATTTGCTGGCAATGCGAATGTATTTTTAGTTATATTTATAAGTATAAAATATTGTTTCAGTGGTTAACTTGAATATTTTGGATACTTAAAAGGTACCTACTAAATTTTTAATTTAGATTGTAAATTTTGTTTTAAAAATTAAGCAATATCTACTTGTAAGGTGTCTATTTTTATAGAAGTGCTATATTAATAATTAAGGAATATTAATATAAGGACAATTAATTAATTGAAACAAAATCGAGATGGATTTAAAAAAAATATATAACTGATTATTACCTATATGTTTACCTATTTTTACCTTATTATTATGATTACATTTATTTTTGATTTTTTTAGATTCAAATGTATCAAAAAAAATCTATGAAAATTCCTAACAAAATTAAAACATAGTTCTTAAACTTTCAAAAATTTCTCAAATTACTCAAAATACCTACCCTGTGATATTTTTAGGAAATACTTATTGATATTATTAAAAAATGAATATTTTTTTTTTAATTTTTTCACCAAATTGTACAAAACTATTGTGGCTGTAAATTTTTTTAATTATTAAACAATTATACTTTTATTGCTCCACCTTTATTTTATTTGGATTTCCTTCGGTTTTTTTAATATCACGGTTGGAAAGTCAATGACTATACTTTTATAACTCAGTTGGTAAGAGCGGTGTGCGTAGAACATGGATAGGTGGGTTCGAATCCCCCAAAACCACATTTTTTTCAATTTTTCATTAAATTTAATTCCATTATGTTGTAGGGGTTATTTTTGGATTTGTTTGAGGATTTCTAAGGAATTGATAAAATATTTATTGGTTATGATATTTGTGCCAAAAGAAACTTTTTCTTCTTTTGTAAACAATATTAGTCTAATAGTTTTTTCTCGTTGAAACACATTGTTCTTCCCTTATCAAGACTGAGGCGCTACCGGTGGCCCTCCTTGTACAAGTTTTATATTTACTGAAAAATTATATCTTTATTTAACAAAAGTTATACAATTTAACTATTTCTAGTAATGGTGTCATTGATCCAATCGGTGTGGCTAGCAAGCCGGGTGAAAACATTTGGAGCTCCGTTGATACCGTATGGCTGAACTTCCCATGTTACGGTACCGATGACAATGCCATCTTTAGATAGAGGACTACCAAGGTCATTTTCCCGGATATTTGGTGTTTGGTTTAAGGTACATAGGTGGGACACTTTTATCAAATCATATAGGTGGGGGTTTGCTTCTTCTAACGCTGCTTGGCATTCTGAAACGAGAAAACAAAACGTGTTCTAAATAGATTTAAATAGTTTTAAATAGTTTTAAATAGTTTTAAATAGTTTTAAATAGTTTTAAATAGTTTTAAATAGTTTTAAATAGTTTTAAATAGTTTTAAATAGTTTTAAATAGTTTTAAATAGTTTTAAATAGTTTTAAATAGTTTTAAATAGTTTTAAATAGTTTTAAATAGTTTTAAATAGTTTTAAATAGTTTTAAATAGTTTTAAATAGTTTTAAATAGTTTTAAATAGTTTTAAATAGTTTTAAATAGTTTTAAATAGTTTTAAATAGTTTTAAATAGTTTTAAATAGTTTTAAATAGTTTTAAATAGTTTTAAATAGTTTTAAATAGTTTTAAATAGTTTTAAATAGTTTTAAATAGTTTTAAATAGTTTTAAATAGTTTTAAATAGTTTTAAATAGTTTTAAATAGTTTTAAATAGTTTTAAATAGTTTTAAATAGTTTTAAATAGTTTTAAATAGTTTTAAATAGTTTTAAATAGTTTTAAATAGTTTTAAATAGTTTTAAATAGTTTTAAATAGTTTTAAATAGTTTTAAATAGTTTTAAATAGTTTTAAATAGTTTTAAATAGTTTTAAATAGTTTTAAATAGTTTTAAATAGTTTTAAATAGTTTTAAATAGTTTTAAATAGTTTTAAATAGTTTTAAATAGTTTTAAATAGTTTTAAATAGTTTTAAATAGTTTTAAATAGTTTTAAATAGTTTTAAATAGTTTTAAATAGTTTTAAATAGTTTTAAATAGTTTTAAATAGTTTTAAATAGTTTTAAATAGTTTTAAATAGTTTTAAATAGTTTGAAATAGTTTTAAATAGTTTAGTTTTAAATAGTTTTATATAGTTTATTGTTTATATTTGGAAAAATACGCCAAAATATGAACAGGCCATTTTTTAGATTGTTTTTAGACCATTTTAGACCATTTTAGACCATTTTGGACCCTCTAAAAAACACTTTTAAATACATTTTTTGCCTTGAAACCCCTTAAAATTATTTTTTTTCCTACCCTAAACGTCCAAATGTGTCATCCAATCTCGATCCTAAAATGATGTGAATTACATCATTTTGATTGATTTCTTGTAGTAAAAACTGCTAAATATCAATATTAGACTATCCATAGAGCAATAAACCATACAAAATGTTTTCGTAAACGCTTATAATTTCTTTGTATTTGACTTTCGAAATTTTAAAACTATTGGTTACTTCGTAGTGACATTTTATCTACTGTCTGTACTGTCGTTTGAAAACATCTAAAAAATTCAGTGTTGCCAGGTCAATTCGAACAAGTCAATCGTCATGTTACCTGTGTCCTGTGTCCTGCGTTGTTCCGGGCCATCAAAAATGCTACTTTTGACTTTGCCACCTGAAATTATCAACTCATACAGGAGCGGCTCGTGACCAAAATTTTGGGGGTTCACAGTAGGAGAATATAGAAAGAAATATTAGAAAGACATAAAACACTGAAAGTTTTTTCATACATCTGTACTGATACCTATATTCTGTCAATGTGAACCACCCCACGAGCCGCCACTGGACCCATACCTGGCTACGCCGACTGGCATAGACCCCCACTATCTGGACACAGCTCAAATTGAATAATTGAAATGAAAAGTCTCAAATAAACATATTTATATACTGGTTTTATCATTTGGCCTGGAACTGTTGAAAAAACAGCCAGTCGTTTTTGTAATATACGTTTTTTTAATATGTTTGGCAATACCGCATTTATAGAAATAGAAATGTCAGTTGTCATATCATAAACAAAAATTATTTGATATCATTATTTCAAGATTTAAAAAACCAAAAGTGAAGAATAATTAACGTTTACAGAAATTTTTTCTTGATTTATTGCTATATGAATATTGTTATTTAGCCGTTTGTACAACAAGGAATCAATTAAAATGATTTAATTTACATATTTTTCATGGTCGAGTCTGGACAAAACATTTTGATGATTTAAATCAAATTTGTAATTGTCATCGGACTCTAAATAGTTATGTGCAGTAGTGCAGTGTGTTTTAAAGTGTTTAACAAGAGGTCTGTTCCAACAACAGTCAGAAACCAGTCTCTGACACCAGGATTCTGCGCATTTGGCGGTCGAAATAATCAACTGCGCAGAATCCTAGTGGCAGTGACTGGTTTCTGATCATTGTTGGAACAGACCAAAGATTTCTTTAAAATTTCAATAATAATATCCGCCGTTCATGTTTCATGGTATATTGCCTCATCTTTAATGATTGACATATACGGGTGAATCCCTGACTTACCACTGTTGGAAACAAGGTTTAAATCAACCGCGGCTTGGAATATGTTGTTGGCAAACCCGGTCAAAACAGCTGTACCGGTAAATTGTTGACGGCTCCTTGGCAATTTTGCAGGTTGAACTTTATCGTTAAAGGTCAGTTTCCTTGACAATTTAAGTAAAGTAAGATCATTTTCACCAAATCTAAAAGAAAAATTGGCATTTGTTACATTTTGTTGGGCAAAGACTTTAAAATACGTTTGAAATCTAGTTGAACGAACTTACCCATCAGGACGAGGGTGGTTAGCATGAGTGTATTCTGATTCAACCTCAATCAAATTTTCGGTATTAGCTCCCACAGCAACCTTTAGAGGGCCGTCAGTACAACGGGCGCCGGTCAATATCCATTCGTTATTAATGATAGCACCACCGCAAATCTGATGACAGGTGGGATCACACTGTTGGACTGAAACTGAGAATGGATAATCTTCTATATTGGCGGCACTGCCACCGGCAATCTTTAGGCGATTGTTGTAGGATTTGGCATTTGGTGCTCCTAAAAAAATTTTTGTTAGTACAATAATAATTATGTTCTATAAATCATAAGTGTTGGAAGCACCTAGATTATAGTATTAGTTGTTATATATTTCCTAGTATATAATGTTGGTATAGTATTAGTTATATAGTTCCTAGTATATAAGTTCTGTTAAATATCGATATATGTGAATCACTAATAAGGTAGAAATGATTAACAGTTTTCTTGTGGATCACAATTTTGATGTTATCTGCTTTGGCAAACTCTTTTTGTAGAACAAATATGATACATGGAGGTGTAGCAATTTACATAAAAAATAATAAAGATTTTTTTAAATATTTTCCAATTGACTTAAGCGAATATATTAGTGAACAAAATGCAGAATTCTCTGCTGTAGATCTGCCATCTTTAAAAAACTACAATTTTAACTGTCTATAGGTCTGGCAAAGGAACTACTGATATTTTTCTTGTGAATTTTGAACTTGTATTACACAAATTACTAGAAAAGTATGACAAATTAATAATATTAGGCGATTTTAATATTAAGACTTTTGGTTTATCTCTTACAATACATGATGATACTAGAGTTACTGCTTCATCTTCAAATTGTATAGACAATATAATTACAAATTTGGCAAACGAATTGTTTACTTCCGGTGTATTTGAACCCTCCTTTTCAGACCACCGTGCCCAATCTATTTCTATGTGCCCAATACATATCTGTGAGTTACTATAATAGTCTAACAAAAAATAAAAATCAAACATGTCTTAAAAGGTATATTACAGATAATAGAATAAAGATGTTTAAACAGTCTCTAAGTAGTATAGATTGGAGTATTTTTTGTAAAAAGGTGATGATGTAATTTTTTTATCAACTTTTCTTATCAATACTTACCATAACTTAAGTATGAAATATTTTCCTTTGAGACAATGTAAGAATAATTTAAGAAATTCACCAGTAATATGGTTTAACAACAGTCTAACATCTCTAAGAAACGATCTCTCAACCATCAAACTAATAACAGACTTTACAGAAGATCTAAATGACGTAAAAATATACAAGAAACTCAAAAGTGAGTACAATGAAAAATTGAAATCAACAAAAAACTAGTCTATGATGAATATATTACTCGAGCAGACAACAAAGCCAAGGCATGTTGGCAAATAATCAATTTCGAAAGAAACAATTTAAAAAGAAATCTAGTAACTCCTGATGTAACACCAAATGAAATAAATACATTTTTTAATACAACTGCTGCAAATATCATAAGATCTCTTCCTAATGTTTCGAATGCCGAACTTCTGAGTTTTAAACCTTTTCCTATGCCCTGTAGCTCATTTTTCTTCCGCCCTGTTCTTGAGTTTGAAGTTTTTGACGCAATTACTTCTCTAAAAAATTCTAAATGTGTTGACACTCACGAACTCAATAGTAAAATTTTAAAAGAGACTTGCAATATTATAATAAAACTGTTTACTGAACTGATTAATTTAATTTTATTCACTGGTATATTTCCTGAAGTACTTAAACACTCTAAAGTATTACCAAAATTGATAACTATCGTCCCATAAGTATTGTTTCAATATTTGGTAAAGTTATTGAAAAAATTATTAAAAAACAATTATGTGAGTATTTTGAATTAAACAACTTCTTCAGCAACTCCCAATATGGTTTTAGACGCTCTCGCTCTACTACACAGGCTGTTCTCAATGTTGTGAATGATGTAGTTGAGGAAGTTGAGCAGGGAAATCACACAGCAGTAATGTTGTGCGATCTGTCAAAGGCTTTCGACTGCGTCTCTTATGATATTCTTCTGGAAAAGCTGAGCTTTTATGGAGGGGAATTCCGCTTGCACTAATAAATTCTTATATCAGTAACAGACAACAAGCTGTGATGAGTAATGGTGCTCTGTCTGACTTTCAGGCTGAGCGGCAAGGGGTTCCACAAGGTTCTGTCCTGGACCCCCTTTTATTCATTGTTTATGTTAACGATCTAAGCCGTTTTATGCTACCTAATAAATCAGTTTTATTTGCTGATGATACAACACTCATCTTAACAGACAAAAATAATAAAAATTTAATTTCTTCTTTTGATGAAATTGCGGACAAAGCAAATACATGGTTCTCAACCAATAAATTAAAACTTTACAGTGAAAAAACTCAAAATATGCAGATATCTGCCAATAATCAAATTATCTCAAAATGTGAAACAAAAACCTAAAATTACTTGGTATTACATTGAATAACATACTCAATTGGTCGGCCCACATTATTCAGTTAAAGAAAAAACTTTCTAGTTCTTTGTTTATTCTTTGGCAGTTGAAAAACTTACCAACTTAAATACCCTCAAAACTACGTATTTCTCTCTCTTTCACTCGCATGTCAGCTATGGTGTACCACTTTGGGGAACCTCTTCTTAATCTATTTAAATCTTCCGGATGCAAAAAAAGCTATCAGAATTATGGCTGACATTAGATTCAGAGAACATTGTCAACAACATTTTATTAAATTTAAAATTATGCCACTACCTACTTTATATCTACATCATACACTTGTTGAAATTCATAGGAAACAGTTTGTTTTGCTGAAACAGTCCGATATTCATAATTACAAGACACGTAATCCACATTGTATTAGAAATACTCGTTTTAGGTTATGTCTATCTGAGACAAATTCCCTAAATTATAACTTATTTAACATATTACCGCAGAACTTTAAAAATTTAAGTAATAATGCTTTTAAAAAACATTAAAAAAATATCTATTGAGACATTGTTTTTACTCTGTCAATGATTATGTAGCTCATTTTCGGTCTGTATGAGACATCTCACTGTCACTCTGCCTCATCACAATTTAAACCTTGATAAGTACCTAATAATCCTAATAATTATTGTTTTTATTTACATTGTTCAAATTCTGGTACTCTAATAATTATTGTTTTATTTATATTGTTCAAATTCTGTTACCACCTATGACTTGCTATAAACATAATGACTTATGTAAAATAGTTAATAAATTATTCTATTCTAATTATTCTATTCTTGATTACGTAAGGATAGATGATATAAAAATTCGGTCATTCATCATTCATTACTGATTTATATTGTGACAGAGGGAAGTCGATAATAAAAAGTAACATTTAAAGTGTATAAATATTCCTAACATAAGTGATTGCAAATTATTTGTTACAAATAATAATCTGGATAAAGTTCTAAACGACAACAATTTTACACGTCAAATGGACACCCGCTGCTGTACACCAAAGTACTAGATTTAGCTTCTAGAGTACTAAAGTATCAGATTATTTGAGAATGTACTAGATCCAGTACTAGATTGGCAAAACGGAAGGCAATACAGGAAAGGCGTAATAAACCAATGTCCGAATGAAGTTTCTTTTTGATAGTGGGATATTGGGCCGCCTCTTCGTACATATTTTTCATCTATCATTAAACAATTTATTACAGTTATGCATGGCATGACTTAATACCTGAGGAACTATCAAGTTTTTTCAGTATATTATACTTTTCGCTTAAAGCTCGTTGCCTTCTAATTATATCACTAATCGTATTATTATTATTATTATTACTATTATTATTATCATCAAGGTATTACCTACTACTATTATCATATAAATCATACACAAATTGTTGATTAGATAATCATATAGAAGAATAAGTAGTTTGAAATTCTTGCGATGAGGACAGAATTGTTGACCTAGAATCAAAATTGTAAATTTTAGACCTACCCAAGTTCAACAAAACATAAGTTTAAAGCAAGCCAACTTGGATACAAGTAATCCAATCATGATTAAAAGGTTATAAATTACCACCTCATTTACCAAAAATTTGGTTTATATCTGAAAATGCTTTAATTTATTCTGAACAAAATTTGTAGAAATCAATTATTTCTAACATTTTATTTTTATCTGAACCATATAATAAAAAACTATTAATACTTAACCTTAAAATATCAAACAAATCCCTTATATTTAACCATTTTAAGATATCAAAAATTGTTTAATGGCCAATTGACTTTAAGGAAGCTTACTCATTTAAAAAATCACGAAGGTCATAGATATGTTAGAATTAAACCTGGCAATTTAATTTAAACATTGTTTAACAGTTCATTTGGTATTAACAGTGAACCCCTGGTATTCGCAAAGGTTTGCAAATAAGTGGTTACAGTAAACGCCAAATCTAAAGAACCAGCACAAATGCTCAGGTTCGTTTACTTAAAAATCGCCACGCCCATTCACAATTTGAACCTTGTCCTTGCTTACGACTAGATCATTGTTTCTTGTTTTTGTATTTTGGTTAACGTGATTGGTTTTAATTTTGATAATGTCTTCTATTGTGGGTGAAAAAAAGCGCAGCTCTGTTATTAACGGACAAAGTCGTGAAGTAATATACAATGTTTTTAAATATTTTGACGCAATAAAAAAGGAAGGAGTTACTTTAGATGATATCAAACTTCAAACTGCACAATCAACAGGTAAACATATTCTGTAGTTTATTTGCAATTAAACTTGCGTAGTTTTCTATATTTTTTGTATTTTACACACATATCTATGCATTTTATTTTTTTTCTCGAAACGCCATCATGAACTTCCACAACAACCATATCTGGTCTGAGAATAATCCCAATGATATCATAGAAAATAATTTCCAAGATCGTTTTTCTCTAAATATTTGGGTCGGAATTATCGAGGATCATCTTATTGGACCTTGCATTCTTCCACAAAGGCTAAATGGCGAAGAGTACAGAAGATTTTTGGAGCACGAGGTTCCTGAACATTTAGAAGAAATTGATTTGGCTACCAGAAACCGGATGTGGTTCATGCACGATGGCGCACCGGCACACTTTTGTTTGTCTGCACGTCAATTTCTGAACGAGAATTATCCTATAATCGTTGGATAGGAAGAGCGGGACCGCAAGCCTGGCCTCCCAGATCACCAGATTTAAATCCTCTGGATTTTTTTCTGTGGGGTCACTTAAAGACACTAGTTTACAAAACATCCGTTCCAAATGAGCAAGATCTAAAAAACAGGATATTTGAATCGTGTGGCGATTATTAGTCAGACACCAGGTATATTCGAAAGAGTACGTCAATCAATGTTAAGGCGAATTGACGCATGCATTGCAGTAGGCGGCGGGCATTTTCAGCAATTGTTGTAAATGTTATTAACTTATTTGTAAAAGTAGTTTAGTCTTAGTCTGTAAATAATCTAAGTTTATCATATAACAATATTGATCAATAAAAGACACATTTTTCACTCGTTCCATGCAGAATACTATGCGTCGGATGAAAACTATGCGTCGGAGAAAAAAACTCATCAGACCAAATTTGCTTAAAACTAAATGAGGATTGCAAAAATATTTGTTATTTTAAGATGAAGCAGTGGCGTATTATTTTTTTCGGCAAAAATATTTAAAACGAAACCCGTACGGGCGCCACTGGTAGAAATAATAAAATTATTTGTACATTAAAAAATGCATCATAATGCGTAGGAGACGTGTACCAAATTTCGTAAAAATATCTGCAATATTCTTACAGTTATTAGAAAAAAAAATTTTTTTTCTGAAAACTTTACCACCCTGTAGCTCAAAAGTTAAGAGATTTAGGACATGTGCTCATATAAACGTTTTGCCTTAAAATAAGTCAAAGATTCACCATTTAAAGTTTGTACAAGTACTTAATAAACACCCTGTATACACAGCGGACATATTACCTCCAAGAATTGGACAGACGATTCAACAAAAGATTTGTTTTCTGTTATTTCTAAAGGCCAAATGCTTATTATAGTTCACGATGATATTCAAATCACGGACCAAGTCTTGAGATTATCATTCCGAAATGAATTCGAAGAATTACGGCAAATGGTTAAGAAAAAAGTTAATATGCGATCATGTTATAAATGTAGAAGATAAATATTTTGAAAGAGAAATACAAACTGACAGTGACGAGTCTTTTTCCAACGAAGAATCTGACGTTGTACCTACTTTGATCTGTGACCATTTCTCATAGGACCAGCTAAAAAAATTGTATTAAGATGATATTTATTTTTAACAGTAATTATTAATAGTATATGGTTTAACGAGTAAGGAATAGTTCTCAGTTTCTACGAATATATATGTATATTGCTTGATTTTTAAAATCATAATTGCTTTTAGGTTTGTAGAATTCTTAAATATTTTAATGCATGGCATCAGAACTTTATTATTGATGTAAACTCTGTGTAACGGAAAGTGTCCAAGTTTGTAAAAATCGAAAAAAAGATTAGGAAATAATAAACTTTTCCTTACCATAGCATACTGCTGCAGCAGCGAGTAAGATAACAACTTTTGCACTGAACATTTTGTATCAACTAACAATAGGTTCGAGGTCTCTTATTATTTATAATAATCTTTTCAAGTACTTAGTTTTTAAAAAATTTAATGGCATATTTATCAATATAATTTAATCTTAAGAGGTTAGTAAATTGAATATATCTATATAAATCTACGTGTAATTTGAAGGAATATGAAAATTTTGAAATTTCAAAGCTCTCTAAACTAAATCCCTTATTACCCATATAGCATTTAAAACGGTATTTGAAAAATTATTTGTTTTTACTTTCTTATCTGTATACAGATATAAGGAAAGTATAAGAATCATGATTTTTTTCGACCTCGAATTTTCGACGTATTTTTACGTTTTGAGGTCCCCTGAATCAGTTTTGACTATTTTCGCAATGATGTCTGTGTGTGTGTGTCGCATAACTCTTGAACCGATACACAGAAAAACACCAAATTTTAAACTTAAGCTTCGTTCCAGCGTCCAATAAGCTGATTAGATTTTGGGCAGAGTCGGAACATCTGTGGGGTACTTTATAGGTGGTCATTTTTATATTTTATTAAATATATCTGTTATTTACGTTTGGGGAAGAAAATTCTTCAAATAAAAGTTACTTCTTATATTATTATTTATAATTTTTGTTCTATACAAAATTTTCCTAAAATGGTCCGTATTCGAGAAATTTGACAAAATGTTTAAAAATATTTTTTTTATAAAAATTGTTCAAATAAAAGTTGTTTGTAATATAATTCTCTATAATTTTTATACTATACATAATTTCTCTAAAATAGACCGTATTCGAGAAATTTGAGAAAATTGTAAATTTTGAAATTTGAAGAAAACTCAAAAACGGATAAAGAAAAAAACATTAAATTTTAAACTTAAGTTTTATTTCGGCCTGACGTGAAATGATTAGATTTTGGACAAAGTCGGAACATCTAGGGGGTACTTTATGGGAGGCCGTTTTTATATCTTATGAAATATATCTCTTATTTATGTTTGGAGAAAAAATTTGTTCAAATAAAAGTTACTTCTAATATTATGATCTATAATTTTTGCATAGGTCAAAATTTTCTGAAATGGTCCGTATTCGAGAAATTTGACAAAATGTGCAAAATTCTGCACTAAAAGTTGTTTGCGATATCGATTTCTATAATTTTTGTTTATACAAGTTTTTTGCTAAAATGGACCGTAATGAAAAAATTGTAGGAAATTAAAATTTAGAAGTCTAGAAACTTAGAAATTTAGTTCCAGCTACAGAAGTTAATTTCAAGTATCTCAAGAGGTTTAGTTCGAGTCATCTAAGAAGTTTATGAGATTTAAGTTAACCTAGGAAGATTTATACTTGAAGAGTTGGTGATATCCGAAATATCTCATATGAATCCTCTAGAAGAAGGCCTCTACAGTCACTCCTAAAATACTACCTGTTATACCACAGATAAGCCTATAATAAATCATTTAAATTTGAATAAGTAAGTCTCTGTGAATTAGAATTTGTCGCTGCCTTATCTGAAACCTTATTTAATTATAATATCTTAATGGTTAGTGATTTTCTATATTTTCATCACTAATCGATTGTCAAGTTTAGAAAGTTTTAAATATAGTGGGGCTCAACATTCTTTTTTAAAGTAATACGAGTTGTTTAATAACCTGACCCACTCCCCAAAATCATAGAGCTTAAAACAATATAAAAATAGATAAAATAACAAGATCATATTACAATATCTATAAAAAAATGTTTCGAGGTAGATGTATGTGGACAATGTATATATTTAGTTTATCCTCTAAACATTTATAGAGATGCTGCAATAGGTTGTACAAAATAATCGGAAAAAGCTTATAATAACTAGATAGGAAAGTGATGTGTTGGACACATCAGATTTTTTTATTAACTATCGAATGGCCTAAATAAATTTTTGAAAAACACAAACTTCGTTCTAGCAATAAAAACTTTAGCCCTCTCTAAATCCCTTATTATAACTTTAAGAAATGATGATAATAATAATAATTATAATGCAAAAATAATTAAATGTTAAAGATTTTTAGGTCTGTATTTATGAACAAAACTCAGCTGAGTCGGACTTGGGTAAGTCGTCCTTGAACTAAAATCGAAGCTCGGTTATATCGCGTGAATTTTGAGATGAGTAGTAACAAATCCGTAAATGTCCTTAACAGTTACAGATTTGCTAATATCCATCTCCAAATTCCAGTGTTATATACAATGATTGATTTGCGTAGGCTTATCAATTTTTTGAATTGAAGTAGACATATTATTTCATTAACAGCATTTTAATCGTCGTCTTGGTTTATTTTATCTAAATTGTTGATAATAATATTGAGTATGATTAATTAAAAAGATTAAGATGTTCAAATGTAGATATCATCTGGTATGTCGCAATCGTTTCAGTAGTTGATAATTAAAATAACGCAAAGTAATCGTGTTTGTATTAGATTTTTATCTGATAACACCACATACTTTGATTACTATACGTGGCAAGAGAGAGGTCCGACACGCCCAACATAGGGCGCACCATTTTGAACCCTGTGACACAGTTTACAGCTAAAGAATCAGATCGCTCACTCTGCGTCGGCACTTTTAATCTCAATGTTTCAGTTTATACACTGTGCAACTCGGATAATACAATATATGACAACCGCCTATAATAAAACAGCAGTCTTCTGCGTATCCTAAATTTGTATCCCTGGAGTGGATGTTAATTTGGAACTTTCAACTGGTCCGAGTGAGCTAACTGATTCTTTAGCAATAAACTGTGACTTCAAAAATAATATTCACTGACACTGACAGCAGCCAGCAAAATATCAGGTGCGTTTTAATCATCCGCTTCTGCTTCCGGAATTGTCGGTTTAGTCGTTTTAACCTGTCAGATTAAAACAAGAAAACCGACAATTCCGAAGCAGAAGCGGATGATTAAAACGCACCTATTAAAAATATTGCGCCAAGATGTAGGCAACACGTAATATGGGTTCAAAATGGCGGAGTTTTCTATCTCCTTTTAAAAGGCACTCAGAAAGCTGCGCAGTGCGACCATTGTCCGTATAGTAAAAGAAAATCAAAGTATGTGGATAACACACAATGGGGACAGCCACTTGATTTGCATGATAACCGTGTCAAGAAACAAATAAAATAACTTAAACAAGAAAATTGGTTAGACGTCTATAGAATTGACGAAATTAAAATCAGCTTTACAAATTTTATAAATGAAACTAAAATGGTACATATAGAGAGTTATATACATAAGGTAAAATTATAAGATCAAACGAACTTACCTTGAGTGAAGTTCGATTTTGATTATACACTGCGCTCTCTTCGAAGATGATAAGTAAACGTAGTACTCATTTATGAGCTAGTTGTGCACTATAGTCCAAAGCCAAAACTTATAACCTCACTTTCTATGTAGTTTGCGCATTTTGTGGGCGTGGCTTACTTTTTTTAAAGCTCCGTCGCAACTGCGATGATCTGGAATTCAGAGGGTTGGGAGAGATCATCTTCGAAGGGAGCGCAGTATATAATCAAGATCGAACTTCACTTAAGGTACCATTTGGGTAGGCGCGTCAAGAGACAAGCGACCACTGATGCGACCCCAAGGTTGAGTAGGACGACAGATGCATAAATGTTACTCTTGGTGAATTTCGCAAGCTTGAGAAGTGTCGCGCGACAGTTACAGGATAACCATTCGAGGGAACGATCAGCGTTGCCAGACCTACTGTATTCACGTAGATCCACTGTTTTTGTCTCTAGCAAATTTTGTTCTTAATTTAATAAGTTTGCCTCATTCTTTAGCAAATGGTTAAAGAATATTTTCTTTAGTAAATTTTCTGCAGTAAAAGCACCGTAATAAGCATCCACTACTCTAGGTTGGCTCCATAAAATAAAACATCAAGATAATCATTGTTTTTATTTAAAATGAAACAAAGAATTAATAGGGCATCATAAAAAGAACATGCACACTACGATTTTGAATTATCTGATTCAGACAGAACTAAAAGAAGTAGGTACCTATTATTTTTCATTGTTCTTTTTTTGTTTCCGTACGTTAAGCATATATTAAAAATGTTATTAGTTGTTTTTATTCTTTGTTTACCTTCTAATTTGGGGCGACAAAAAGTTTATTTTTCGTTTCTTACATACTTGTTTTTTTATTTACTACAATGCAAATTTTAATTATTTCCCCCTGTATTAAAATCTACTGTTCAGATCTACGGTTTTTTTTTACCCATACTGTTTTAAAATCTGGCAACGCTGCCTAGAATCACCCCCAAAAAAAAGCGATGCCGAGGTCAGTGACCTCGAGTGCGATACGCAGCAAAGCTTTGCACCGAGAAGTGTCTCCAGGACGACACTTCTCGGTCGTGGCGCGCCGTGCGAAATGTGTTTCATATAATTGTATGTATTTTAGATGTGAAGTGACACTTCTTGGTCGTGTCAGCGGTCGTATGTCGCGTCGGCGGTCGTCTGTCGCACCTACCGAAATTGTACCTTTAAGGTAAGTTCGTTTGATCTTATAATTATACACTGCGCTCCCTTCTTCAGATGATAAGTAAACGTAGATGTTTAAAGACAGTTGCGACTACAAGAAACGAGGCAATTTTCAATAAACTTTTATGAAAATGTTTACAAGTGTAACAAAAACAAACGAAAGTTTAATCCACAATAAACTAAATAAGAATGGTTTCTGCAAAAGAGGTGTGATCCTGCCTTATAGGCCGGTTATAACACGGCAAAAGATTCACTCGTCTAGCCTGCTGTGAACCTTATATATAAGTTCAATCCCAACGACTTAAGGTCTAAAAAGAAGAGTTGGAGATTGTTATCAATTTGTTTCTACCTGATGATTTAACCCTAGAACCACAACGTGGGGTCGCCCGTGACCCAGCTGTTTGGTTTTCCTGACATACGCTTGCACGCAGTTTAGATACCAGGCTATGAGTCCACATAGCTTCAGTACTTGTTAAAAGCTTTGGGTCTGCGTATGTGTTTCTTGTCCTGATTTAGATAATCG